CTTCATCATATTCTACTTCTTACTTTCTTTTTATTCTTTTATATATTTCTCTTCATTTCCAATTATTTGCTTTTTTTCGCTGCCTATTTTATTATATAAGTAAAATAAATGGATTATTTAGAAATTCATATTTGAAATGAATTTCTCAAATAAATAGCAAATTCATGTTATTTCAATTTAATTAATAAATATTTATGAATTAATTTAAATCAATAAGAAATATACCAAACATAAAACATTAATTAAAATATAGACTAGAAATTGAACAATATTCAAAGAAACTTTAAACAATAAAACTAAAATAAAACTTATATGTTTTATATAATATATTACTTATTCATTACAATTAATTAAATACAAAGAATTACAGAATAAATTATAAATATAGAATTTATTAAAGGGTTAAATATATACTGTTGAAATATTATAAAATATTAACTTGTAAACTCAAAGAGTCACAAAAACAAAATCATTTTCTTTATCTTTCAGAAAATGAAAAATAACAAAAATATCATTTCACTTTTATTGAATGAAATTATCATGTTTATTAAAATATTAAATATTATGCATTATTCATGAAAAGTTTCACATCTATAATTTCCTATTTATATCTAAATTTGTTAACATTAAATCTTAATTTATACTTTTAAATATTTTCAACCATAAATATATTTACATTATTAATGTAAATAAATTAGAAATGAATTAATACAAAAAGATGGTAATTTTTAATTATTATATAACAAGAATACAATAATAAATTAAATAATAACTATAACTACAATAATAAATAGTTGACTTGGATGATTTTTTTTAGAAACAATACCAAAGTTATTAAAATTATATGACATAATAACAATGAATATATACGTGAATTAATCTTGCATACTATTATGTTGATGATTTAACATTATATTTAATTGAAATAAAATCTCATAAATTAAACTATTTGATTATATTTTGTTTAACTAATATTATGAAAAAATATTAATTTTAAAAAATTATTAATTTGTTAATTATTCTAAAATCCTTTATTTAACTTATAAAAATCACCCTTCATAAAAATTATCTTTTATTCATTTTGAATTATTTCATTATTCATCACTGAATAATTTTCTACATCAATTTTATATTTTTTTCATTTTGTTTCATTCATTATTATCATTTATATTTTTGATTATTTTTATACTATTTTGTCATTCAACACTTACAATATATTCTTATTATTCTAATTTATATAAGTATAATCAAAATAATTAACTACAACATTAATAATTATTTCTTATTTAATACATTTGTTCAATATTATAAGGAAAATACTTATTGAAATATATTTTATAATTATTCATTATACTCACAGTTATTTTAAATTTAATTCTCATCTTATTTTCTATCTTAAAATAGTAAATATAGATTTATTCGAAAAAGATGTAAGAGTAATTAGAAGAATAACAAACACAAATAATAAAAGAATATGTAACTATTGTAAGGAATGACAAAGAAAGAAAACATTATTAATTTACAAAACAAATAACATTAAAATTGAAATAAATAATCAGAAAATAATGACTTAATAAAGTAATGATTAAACAATAATGAGATAAAAAAATAATATAATTAATAAATAAAAATGAATTAAATTGAAAGTAATGAATATGCTCAAGAAAGATTAAAGAATATTAACTAATTTTTAAATATATTTAATAGTACAAACTATATAATGAAGTAATAAAATTAAAATAAATGAAATCACAATCACAGAGATAATTGAACAAATAATTAATATATTTAAATGAAATAATAATTATTTATAGAATATTAAAAATTTAAGGAATAAATACGAAAAAGAATAAAATAATCTTAAATTTATTTAATATATTATGCTATTAAATAATGTAAAAATACGTAATAATTTAAAATTATATTAATAAATCGTTAAACAATAATTATTTAAAATATAGTAAATTTGTCAATTATTTTATTCATTTATTAAATATTATATTAATATTTAAATATTAAATTATGTTTATATACACGAATTATATACTAAACAAATATCTAAATAAATTTCAATCATTTAATATACTATTTATTCAAATCACATTTTTATTATTGATCATTATAATTGATATATTTGCTTTATTATTAAACACTTAATAGTGAATGTTTTATTTAATGATAAAATACAAAACTAACAATTTTCATGTATTATTATTTTAGTTGATCATTATACTAATTAAAAATCAAATAAATCATATCACCATATTATTAATATAATATTTTTATTAAATTTTATATAAAAAATTAATCATCATTATATAAATATTCTATTTATCTTATTATTACTTTAACTATTCATTTTTTGGTACTATTTTTTATTTACTTTGAATTTATTCAATAATTCACTTTACTTATTTATCATTCTTTTTTTCTTTTTATTTATATTCGAATATTTTTATGTTTATTTTGTTACACCTCTTTTACCTTATTTTTCTTTTTTATTAATTTTTAATTTTAATTTAATACGAGATCGAAGGTGGCACGTCTGAAACACCACACACAAACCCTAGTACAAATTCATTCTTCGACTCTCCCAGTTATTATCTGGTTATGACGGTGCCTTTGAATTAGGAATGTATTAGGGAATGCTGCAAAGGGTGCAGCAAGAGAATACAGTAGAATATTACGTGGATGTAATATAAGAATCTACTGAAGTGTGGGTATGACTAAAAGAAGATTAGTCAAAGTAAGACTAAAAAGAAGATTAGTCAAAGTAATACAGTAGTAATAAAATGATTCCTTCTTCCATTCATAAAATAAGAAAAATGAAATTCCTTAAAATTAAGGCAGAAAACAAACAAAGGCTTAAAAAGAAGAAATAAGCAGAAGAAGTTTGAAAAACCTTAATAGGAAAAATAAAGCAAAGAAGTGCTTTCCTCATTTTGCAAGACAAACCTAAATGATAGGTTCAACAAAGAGATTACTCTTTTTTAATAAGCTCAGGGATGGGATTAGTCTCCCCTGAGCTAGGAAGAATAGATGAAAATTCCATTAATACTTAATTAACTAATTTTTATTTATTAATTTTAATTTAATACTATTGAATTTTTCCAATTTTCAAATACACTTATAACATATTTCTATTTATTTTTTACAATCTATATTTTGTTCAATTTATTTTAATTTTCATTAGAATGAAAAAATTCATACCATCAATTTATATGGTTTAAAATAAGACACATTATAAAGTCTAAATACTTACAAATATAAATTAATTTTATTCAACAAAATAGTATGTAAAATGATAAAAAAAATTGAGAAATGAAATTAACTGATAGTGAGAATTATTCACTAATTTAAATAAAATACGAAGAAGATTGAAATTATTGTCAGAATCAAATATATTTAATGAAATAGTTTTAAATTGATATTTTGAATTTTATCGAAGAATTTAGGTATGATATCTCATGACATTTTTATTTCTATTTCAATAGTATTTATCATTTTTTGAGTTGATAACTTCTGGTTGTTATTTGAAACTAGTTCATATTTTCATTATTTTCACAATATGTCAGAAATGACAATTTTTCACTTTTGATGAATTTTGAATTTATTACACTATTCATTCTATATAATCTAACATTTTCATTATGTGTGTACATTGTCCATTTATCTCAAATAATGAAGTTGTCATCGTTCATTCTAATTGAATAATTTAATTCACATTTTGCAGTTATAATTTACTGAATCATTTTATGTAAAATAAACAAGATACTATTCAATTCTGTGAATGTCTTGCTCCAAAAGTTGTTATTATAATATATCTGAATAGAGGAAAATAGAATAAGATAAATATTTATTGTATTTCAAGTTTGATATATTTAATGGTAAATATTATTTCATTTATTACTTCTAAGACTGTTCTTTCGTCGCTTACTCGTTTCAAACAGTCTCTTCATCTCTGAAATTAAAAAAAATAATTTCCATTCAATTTAAATATTTTATGTAAGTTGTATTCCATTTAACACGCAAGAAATATCAAAAATGTGGTTTTGTTATTATTTATAAAATGTATTGAAATAGAGTGTTAAATCATCCTGTTTCAATTTAAGATTATGGAGAATAAAGCAAAGACTATATAATTAGAGGTTCTGTTTTTATGAAATTACGTTTACTTAATAATTTTGTTAAAGATATTGATTTCTTTAAAAGCAAAAAATGAGTAGATAGTTTATTTAAATGATAGTATAATATAGTAATAGGTTGTTGTGATTTAGATAAATACACTGAGCCAAAAAAAAAAAATCTGGACTATGTTTAAATTACATTAAATTTTTATAGAATGATGTTAAAATGTATTAAATTATATTCATTTTAAAAAGAAAATAGTTCATAAAAATTAAAAAGTATCAAAATTTTATTGAAATTTATAAATAGGTTATTTATTCTTAAAATAGTAGATTATTTTTTGCTCGTCCTATTCTTGATGATAAAATGTAAATACAATACATCTCACTTTGTTTTGAACATCCTGATTTTTTAATAAAAAAATTGTCCAACAAAAATGAGTTGTTTGTGTTATTTTTTTTTTGAAATTAGCAACTGTTTATTATCCATTTAAATATCAACACTCATAACAATTTTGGTAAATTCTTAGGTAAATCAAATTTACATATTAATTACAAATAAAAAAACTCATTAAAAGAAGTTACTATTTAATTAACTAACTACAATGAGAATGAATTAGGATCAATCTTATCAACACCCTTTTATCAAAAATATCAATAACTATTCTTTTAAAAATTAAAACAAAAAAAAACGTTTTGATTTACATGTCTCTCAGCCACAAGAATTAGATGACAAGTACAATAACTAATATTATTAGTAATGCATTGTTTTTTTTTTAAATTTTAAATCAAAAACCATGGTTTATATTTTGTTATATATTACAAAAATTAATAAAAACAAAAAATGATGAGTTTTCAACTAAAAACAAACAAATGAATAAAGATAAAGAAAAAGGTCCAAAACCAAATAAAAATGAAGATAAAACAGAAAGTGAGAAACGACAATGGAAAACAAAATATGACGACTCTACTATTCGAATTAGACTTGAAAAAAATTTGTATGAGAAGTTAATTGCTATTAAAGAAGTTAATGCCACTCAAAGACTATCACTGAATAAAATTATCAATCGTTTGTATGATAGTTATATCACAAGAAACCCACAGTTTGCTTCTATTGACAGTCAAGTTGTAAGTGAACAAGACCAACTACCAAAATCAAGTGAGGTTGAAGAAAAAAAAGACTGAGAAATTAACTAAAATAACTTATTATTTTGTATTGTTTTATACAACAATTTATTTTCAATCTTTCTGATGTATTTTGTTATATATTAAAATTTTATAAAGAAAAGTAGTTAAAAAGTGTTATTAGGTTTTTTTCTACCATTCTTCGCTCACCAATAATTATCCTATCTCTAGTCTTAAGAATGAATACCCAACAACTACTCAATCCTTTTAGTTTTTTTTTATGTTAAGAAGTGTGAATTTAGACTCTTTATTCATTACTTTGTTTAGGTTGAATTATGTTTTTTCAAACATGCTAGAATTAAACTATTCTTCGTTTAAGTAACATTTCTTCTTAATTTTAATACGTGCTAAAACTCCTCCTTCTTTACTTTCTTGTTTTAAGAAGAATATAACCTCACTATTATATGATTATGATTAATTTCTTTTAGTCTCAATAACAACGTGAATATCCATTCTATTTAGTTATACCAATATTAGCAAATATACTTGCATTTTAACAAGTAGGTAATACTATTGTCTTTATAAATATATACTCTTTTATTATTATAAGTGATGTCCTATAATAAATAATAGTCACTCACATTCTTACAGTATTATGTAAGACATTTTCTAACCAAATGTAACATCATAACCAGATGATAATTGGTGGTTCAATGTTTTGATTAATTTTCATGTTTGTTTAGTGTCTCTGACGTGAAACGTTTAAATCTTTTAAAAACATGAAAAAAATACCGAAAAAAAAACTGTAAAAGAGGAATAAAAAGGTTGTAGAGACAAAGAAAAGAGACAATATAAAAACCGATGGATCTTCCTTTTTTATAAAAACTCAAAAAGACTAGTTAAGTATAAATGTCAAGAGAAAGTTTTATAATTCAATTCAATGGAGCAAGTTCAATGATAAAAAAAAATAAAATTCCTGTTGCTCGTTGTGTTAATTTAACAATGGAAACATTTAGTAATAAAACACCTAATTGTGAAGAATTACTTTCAATGTTATGGAGAATAACTTCAAAGTCAGATGATGTTAGTGTTGAAACTTTTGTGAAAACAATGCAACACTTAGACAATTTATATTTTAAAACAGGTGAACTAAATGGTCAAGTAATTATTACAGCTGCATTTTTTTCATTAGACTCTTCTTATGACTATTCACTTGATAGTAAAGAAGTATCAGACTTTTTCAAAAGAATTGGTGATAAGAAAAATTCAAAAAAGATCAAAGAATATATCAAACAAAATGATGAAAATGGGGATGGTGTTTTACAATTAGATGAATTTCTTGGTGCATTTGATTCAATTTATAAAATTAATTCTATCCCTATTAATGATTACTTAAAAGTTATAGAATTTACTGACTTTTCAAAAAGATATGACTTACTTCCAAAAAAGAAAGGAAAAGCATTGCAAGAAGATGTTGTTCAAGAATTAATTAAGGACATTCCATTAAATGAACGTAAAGGTATTGAAACACAACTTTCTGTACTTATTTTTCTTTCTTCAAAAGATAAAAAAACAATATCAAGAGAAGAATATGTAAAAGTACGTCGTGAAATTAATTATATTAAAACTAAAATTGGAAGAATTACAACCGAAGTTTTAATGACTTGTACTTTTAGAACTCTTGATAAGTCATGTTCTGCTTCATTAGATAATAATGATTTAACAAGAATGTTAAAGGCTTCTGGAATGGAATCAAAAAAGAAAGTTGTATTACAATATATTAATGATTTAGATGAAAATGGAGATGGAGTATTACAATTAGATGAGATGCTTAGTATCTTGAAAGTATTTGTCAATAAACATAATTTTGATATTGAAAAGTATCTAAAGAATTTAGATGCAAGAACTCCTGCTGATATTGTTGAATGTTCTTTTAAAGAACCAATTAAAATCCCAAACAACAACTTTATTGTTAATGATCACTTAACTTCAAATGATTCAGAACAAATTACTTTTGCCTTGTTTGATGCTACTATCAAATGTAAATTAGGAGAATCTTATTCAACAAGTCAAGAAACATTTAAATTTTTATTTTTTGTTGCAGATATACACAATCAAGGATTTATTACCAAAACACAATTTAGTTTGATTATGAAATTCTTAGACTCTACTAATGGAAAAATAGAAAATGACCCTGCCTTATGTCGTATTTGTTTCCAACTTCAAGGAAAGAAAGAAATTGGAGTAGATGACCTTCAAACATTATGCAGTAAAATGGGACAACCTTTTAGTAGTGAGCAAGAAGCTATTAATGAGTTAGTGATGTATGACGATAATAGAAATGGATTAATTGATGAAGATGAATTTGTATATTTAATGACTGAAGATGACGAATTAAAGATGGATGATTCAATTGAAGAACACCTAAGAAAGAACGCAAGAAAAGCAATTAAGCTATTTAGAGTGTATGACACTAATAGAGATGGACTTCTTAATGAAACTGAAGTTGGAGAAATATTTATTGCTCAATGGCATCAATGTTCTCCTAATAACCAAAAAGCTATTCATATTGGATTTCTTAAAAATCAACAAAATGATTTTATTGATGAAAATAGATTTGTAGTTTTATGTCAAGAATTAGAAGCATCAATGAATGAAGATGATTCTGGAGAAATCAATATTGATAAACTCCTAACTAATTTCTTTTATTTCTACGTCCCAAATGGAAGCAATTTGATGGATAAAGAAACACTTGAAAAAGTACTTATTCAATTTAAACTTCCATCGTCTCCAGTCCTTATTCAAAAATTGCTTACGTCAAGCAATTCTTTTAATATGATCACTTTTGAAAATTTTTCAAAATATATAAGTCAACATCTTCAATAACCTTTTATCTTTTTGTTTTTTTTAGATATCAACATCCTTTATCTCAATTCAGGACAATCTTTTTGTTTCATTATAAAATTCATGAAAATTAAGACTGCTGTATGATTTTTTTACAAAGTTAGGTGTAAATAAAATATTAGAAAAATAAGTTCAAAAAAAAAATTGGAATAAATAAATGAGAAAAAATGGAACAAACTTGAACATAGAAAAAAAGAGAATAATAAAAACTAGAAAACAGAACTTAAAAATAAGATAAAATAATGTCTAACAAACAAACGGATATTAAGACAAAAGATGAAGTAGTCCAGATAGAGAGATGTACAACAGAAACTTATCAGTTAATGAAAAAAATTATACCAAATTATAAAAAATTAGCTGATGCATGTGAAGGATATTTTAAGGCACAACTTGTAATGATTAAAGCTACTGACACACTTTATAATTGTCTTGAAGCGATGGCTGATACTTCATTAGAAGAAGGTGGTCAACAAACTCATCCAGACCTTCAAGTTGGAGTAAAAAATATGTCTAATGTATTAAAGATGTGGAAAGAAAATTTGATGTCTGTATGTGATGAATTTAGAAGTACTTGTTCTTGTATTAGAGGAGATGTTACTACTTTCCCAAAAGAAATTGAAGCTAAAGAAAAAGAATATAAAAGTCAAAAGAAAAAAGAAGTAGATGAAGTGTCTAAAGTTGAAAAGAAATTAAGCTCTGTTAGTAAAAATACAAAGCTTCAAGCAAAAGACCCAAAAGCCTTGGCTGATGCTATTACTGCTGTTACTAAAAAAGAAAGTGAATATCAACATTTCCTTATGAATGGATTAAAAGACTCACTTTCAATGTTTAGAGGAACTTATGGTCAATTATTTGAATGTTTTAGAAAGTTGTTTATTTGTAAAACTGATACTGATAATAAGTCTCAATTAATTATTTCAGCTAATATGGAGGATATGCAAAAATTAATTAAAACATCTAAAGGACTTCCACAAAAATATAGAAGTTTAGTTACTATGAAGAAACAATCAATGATTAATACAACTTGGTTGTCACCTGAATTGAAAGAAATTTTGAAAGCCGCTGGTGTGAAACCAAAACATCTTGCTGACCCTACTATTGTTGAAACTTTGATTCAAACCGTTAAACAAGCTGTCCAACAAGGAACTGTTCCAAAAGACTTACTTGACCAATTAGAGGCATCAAGAGCAAATAAAGAAGATAAATTAAGTAAAGTTATTGAAGTAGAAGATATCGTTGTACCAGACCGTAGACCACCACCTACTCCTATTGCTCGTTCTAGTCCACGCACAGCTGCTCCAACAACTCCAGCTGTTGCTACTGCTCCAGTACCAGCTGCTCCAGCTGATATTCCACCACCACCACCACCAACTGCTCCAATGATGGATAATATCCCACCACCACCCCCAGTAGCTCCTGCTATTGGTAATCCACCACCACCTCCTCCAATTGCACCTCCCAAACAAGCTGGAAACCCACCACCACCTCCTCCTATAAGATCAACCAATTCAGCTGGTAACCCACCACCACCTCCTCCAGCAAGACAAACTGCTGCACCTGCACCAGCTAATGGAAATTTGTTAGCTGATATTAGAAGTGGTATTACTCTTAGGTCAGCTGCTGATAGAAAATTAGACACTGCCGCACCTGTTGTCAGTGATGCAGGAAAACAAGATTTGACCTCTATGCTCAGAAAAGCTATGGAAGTAAGAAGGAATGATATTGCTGATGATGAGGACGATGATGATGATGACGATGATGAATGGAGTGATTAAATATTATTCTTTTTTTCTAAGTTTATTTTTTAATTAAAAATGAAACTTGGTTTTAATACAAAGACCAACATTTTAATTATCATAATATCTTCTTCTTGAAGAAGAATGTTCATGACTTGTTGGGTGTCTTCTGTAATGTCTATCTCTTGAAGCACTTCTTGACCTAGAGGAATAGTAACGGTTATAAGAGTCTCTTCGATAGTGCCTTTCTTTAGAGTCACTCCTTGAACGAGATCTACTATACCTTTCTCTACACCTTCTATGGTCATCAGTATTATTGATTAATTCTGGTGATTGTTCTTTTTCTTCCCTTATTGCTCTTTCTCTTCTTCTTCTAAATTTTTGTTTTCTAAACAAATCATATTTCAAATTACGATCTGG